AATCAAATACACATAGTTTATATTCTTATACAAATATTGTCAGGGCTTATTACAACCTACCCATTAGAGAGTAATCAAATACACATAGTTTATGTTATTATCCAAATATTGTCAGGGCTTATTACAACCTACCCATTAGAGAGTATTCAAATACACATAGTTTATGTTATTATACAAATATTGTCAGGGCTTATTACAACCTCACCATTAGAAAGTAATCAAATACACATAGTTTATGTTATTATACAAATATTGTCAGGGCTTATTACAACCTAACCATTAGAGAGTAATCAAATACACATAGTTTATGTTATTATACAAATATTGTCAGGGCTTATTACAACCTAACCATTAGAGAGTAATCAAATACACATAGTTTATGTTATTATACAAATATTGTCAGGGCTTATTACAACCTAACCGTTAGAAAGTAATCAAATACACATAGTTTATGTTATTATACAAATATTGTCAGGGCTTATTACAACCTCACCCTCAGAGAGTAATCAAATACACATAGTTTATGTTATTATACAAATATTGTCAGGGCTTATTACATTCTTACCATTAGAGAGTAATCAAATACACATAGTTTATGTTATTATACAAATATTGTCAGGGCTTATTACAACCTAACCATTAGAAAGTAATCAAGTACACATAGTTTATGTTATTATACAAATATTGTCAGGGCTTATTACAACCTAACCGTTAGAGAGTAATCAAATACACATAGTTTATGTTATTATACCTCAGTATGTTTTTTTCTATTTAAAAAAGAATGAAATATTTGTGCTATTTCGTTCCACAGACTATTTGTTAGTCAATAGTTTCAAAGACCATTACCCCGGTCAATAGTTTTGTAAACATATTTCCCGTACTTTTTCATACTAATTTTTCAGTGGACAACAATGACGTCATAGACTATTCTGCTTGGATTTGTGCGCTTGGCAACGTTACATGTTAAACTCTGAAATATCGTAAACGGTATAATCTGTCGTCGTAATTTCAAATGTATATATTACTTACCAGAAGGAATTAAAAAAGAAAAAGAAAATCTAGGCGACATCTTTTAAGAACTAAAACATAACAAATTTATGGTATGGGTATGTCGTCGTCTTCATAATCTGGGATTGCTTTGATGTATGGTAAAATATTTTAGCTGGCGTTTATTATAAGCATGGGAATTTTTACACGAGGATTCCTGGTCTTGATTACAGTAATTAAAATATTGACAAATACCACACGGGCAAAAAAAATCTGATAGTTCATCTTGTGCATTTCTATGACACTATTTGGTGTTTTTTTCCAAGTGGCGTAAACTTGTAGTCTTTTTAGAAAGTTGTTTTGTTCGGTATAATAAAACAGTTAATGACTGGTTATGAGGGTAATAGCAAGTTTGTTGTCACTTTGATACTGACTATTGCCCTCGGCTTCGCCTCGAGCAATAGTTGGTATCTCAGGGACAACAAACTTGCTATTACCCTCATAACCAGTCAATAGGTGTATAATATTAAACAAATATTGTCAGGGTTTATTACAACCTAACCATTAGAAAGTGATCAAATACGCATAGTTAATGATATTATCCAAAAATTTCAGGGTTTATTACAACACAGTCAGTACCTATATTATCTTGTGCTGGTGGGCTTTTAGTCCCCGAGGGTATCACCAGCCCAGTAGCCAGTGCTTCGGTACTGGCATGAAAATACGGATATTGTTTTATTGAAATTTGCTATTACATAATGTTGGAAATTATTTTAAATTAAGGAATATATCTCCCTCATGCAAAACTCTGATTACTTGCCCGGCTTTGGCTATACTTTTGGTCTTATTACCTCTTCAATTTTTGAATATGATTCGGATTTTCAATTGTTTGGCCTAGAACAACACTAGAGCAACACTGAAGAGACAATGCGCATCTGGTGCGGCAAATTGATACCGTTAATGTTATTATTACCACTGGGTCGATACCTCTGCTGATGGTCTGTAAGTCGCCGACGGTATCATCAGCTTAGTAGCCAGTTCTTCGGTATTGGCAAGAAAATACGGATATTGTGTTATTGAAATTTCTATTTACAAAATTAAAAGAGGCGAAGGATACAAAAGGGACATTCAAACTCATAAGTCGAAAATAGACTGACAACGCCATGGCTAAAAAAGAAAAAGACAAACAGACAAACTCATTACACAAAACATAACATAGAATACCAAAGACTGAGCAACAAGAACCCCACCAAAAACTGGGGGTGATCTCAGGTGCTACGGAAGGGTAAGCAGATCCTGTTCCACATGTGGCACCCGTCGTGTTGCTAATGTTAGTACAAACCCGGTGATAATTTTAATTCGGGGAAAAGGGGACGGGATTGTAGTTACATTTGGAACATCGTCGTCATCTGTGAAACGGATACTCCATAACGGTCAACCAACTCGTGATGACGTCCGTAAAATTTACGAAGAGTTGCTACATAGAAATGGAAAGTTCACAATTGGGAAGCTGAAATCATCTCTTTGTCGTAAAGTTTTGTTTTCAACCGACCATCATTGTCAATTTCTAGATGTAAGTCAAGATATGAGGCAGACTTCGGGACTTTTTATAGCTGACTATGCGGTATGGGTTTTACTTATTGTTGAAGGCCGTACGGTGACCTATAGTTGTTAATTTCTGTGTCATTTGATCTCTTGTGGAGAATTTTCTCATTGACAATTATACCACATCTTCTTATTTTTATATTAACTGTATCTGTTGTATTCTTTATCTCAAGTTCGATGGGATAGATTCGTTCAAAATAGTCACCAAATTTGAATTATTTAGTGAGAGAACATCATCTATATAGCGGAATGTGAAGTTTAAGGATACTGCTAACTTCTTTTCTTTCTTCCTAAGAAGTTCCTGTATGAAGTCAGCCTCATATGAATAAAGGAAGTTGGTTCCCATGAGAATGCCGATTGTTTGTTGAAAAACACGTCATCCAAACGTACCAAATATGTTGTCATAATTGTCGAAATGCGCATATGGTTCAGTAAAATTGGTACCGTTAATGTTATTGCATTATATGTTGCTTTTTACTTTTTCATGAAATGCATTTGGATATATTGTCACAAAACACAGAAAAAAACATTCTCAGTATCAAGCAAGCAACAATCATTCAATCAATCAGCATCTTATGACAAATGATCGAACATTATTAATCAATGTGAATGCTATAGAGATTTAAGGTGGCAGTTTATTAAACCATCTAATGATAAGCGTTCATCGTCGTGCTATAGAGATTTAAGGTGGCAGTTTATTAAACCATCTAATGATAAGCGTTCATCGTCGTTCAAATATGTTCAACATCTCAGCACTGAAAATGTCAAAGATTAGCGTAATTTGTGTAAATTCTTATTTAATGCTCTTAATCAAAGGACTGAACTGTTAGTGGACAATGATTGATGTGTATATGCCTCTCTAGTGTATCATGCCATTTTATATTATAAATATGTTTTGTATTTATTCTTGTACTTTTTAATATTTGTATTGATGATGTCGTAAAAGATTTAATCAATGGTAACTGTGAGCCAGTTAGAGTTGTTGATTTGTCTGTAAATTGTTTATTATATGCTGATGATATTGTATTACTATCAGAAAGCAAAACTGGTTTACAAACCAGTCTCAATATTCTTGGTACATGTTGCTCGAATTGGAAACTACATGTTAATGTACAAAAATCAAAGTTATTAGTATTTAATTCTAATGGTAAAACACATTTAAATGAAATTATTTATAAAGATAATGACATACAAACCGTCTTAAAATATTGTTACTTGGGAATAATGTTAAAGTGTAATGGCAATTTTAATTTAGCTGTATCCTTACTAATGGAAAAAGCTAGGAAAGCATGTTTTAAGATTAAGAAAACAATTGGATTGGATAATCCTTGTAAACTTTTAGAAAAATTATTTGATTCATTAGTAAGTCCCATCTTGCTGTATTGTAGTGAGGTTTGGGGTGTTTGAGACAATTCCATTTTGGAAAAATTCCATATGAAGTTCATAAAAGAAATTCTAGGTGTTCATTGCAAAGCAATTAATGCTGCTTGTAGAGCCGAACTTGGCAGGCTACCATTGTGGTCAAAAATCTCATTTTCTTCTATTAAATTTTTTGAACATATTTTAAGGTCTGAAAACACACTTGTATCCAAAATTTTTTTTGCAACTGAAAAAAATAACCCCTGGACAAAGAAACTTTATTCTATTCTAAACAATCTAGGATTTTCAAACCTAGCTGGGGGAACCTTTTCTATTAAACAATATCTACCAAGTATTAAACAACGAGTGATTGATCAGTGCACGCAGGATCAATCATCAAAAATTTACAATTCATCTAAACTAAAATTTTATCAACAATTTCATAATTCAAATCAGTGTAATTCTTATGTTGATGTTCTAAGTAATAAATTAGAAAGGTCATCTCTGTGTAAAATAAGATTGAGTGCACACAATCTTGCTATAGAAAAAGGGCGACATTTAGGTTTACCCACCAATGAACGAATTTGTAATGTATGTAAATCGGGTGAGGTAAAAGATGAAAATTTACTGAATTGTTGATCACTTTTTACTCAATTGTGAAAAAATTTTCTAACTACAGAATAAACGTTAAAACTATTATATTAAATATACTTCCTACAAGTTGTAGTGAGAGTCAGCTAAATATGAAACGTTGCATTAATAGCAACTCTTTAAAAGTCCTGAAAGTGACAAGTTCTTATATACATAAATGTCTGGTATATAGAAATGAGATTTTAGCTTCTTAATTATAACATATTATTTCATTATGCTGTATTCATTGTTATAATGTACTGAAATATGGGCCTTTGCCAATTATTGTAATTGTGTTTGTGCCAATAAATTATTTGTATTTGTATTTGTACTGATAAGCATAATGTGCTTAAAGTAATAAAGTATTGAATTGAATCATTCTAACACAACTTGAACCTAGAATCCCTTTCAAAACTCACCGACTGTGGTTTTGTCAGGACTAAGTGACATATGAAGGGGTCTTCCTAAGTGTTGACTCAATCTTGCCAAGGGAGAAAACTCAAACCGGTTCATTCTCCACAGAATTATATCATTATCATCGGCTTTCATTGAACCATGTCCTGATGCTAACTCCCTATAATTTTCTGACCACAACAGACTGCAAATCTACAAAATGAACAAAAATTTACTCGTGGATAATCGTTCGCAGTGATTTCACTAAATTTCCCCTTCCAGGTCAAGGTTGTTTGTCTTCTTGTTTGTTATTTATAGGTTTTTCGAAAACCCTTTGAGGATCAAGAGTTTTGGGTATGTAAGGTATTATGTTCCAAATCGACATTAATATTCGTTTCAAAATAAGTAAAAAAATAAAACATTCTGTAAAGAGGTGTCGTTTACTAGATAAAATATCAAAACATTTCACCTTTTATTTTCAGATCGTTTTTGAAAATTGACCAATGAGAATCAAAGATTGCCTCTATTGGTCATGTTTTCTTTCCGACTGGAACCAAATATTGTAAACTTTAAAAAGACCTTCAATATATCATTCTTAACCAGTATGGTTAAAATCATTTCCAAAAATATCGTTGCCGAGGGCAGACATAGATGGGTGCTTTTGAAATATTAATCCTTTGGCTTTCTGTGGAATTTTTTTCAAATTGAATGTAACATGCGTAGGTTTCTTCAAGATGCAAAACGATTTGCACCAACAGAAATTACCTATTTTGTGATTACTCTCTTCAATTGAAACGATATTACTGGTACGTTGTTCCATAATAGTATGTGGGTATAATTAAATATTGATACAAACAATCTTAAACTATACACCTGCATTAAACTTTTGAAGACCATAGAAAAAGAAAAAAGTAACCAAATATGCCAACTTTATCATTGTTACTTTCTATAATAATTTTTTTACTGTTTCATTTCAACTGGATATCCGCCAGAGGGATTCTGTGATTATGCCAGTTCAATTTTTCCAACGACTTCTATCACAAAATTTAATGCCTCATTTTAGTCAACAAATATTAAAAGCCTATTTTGCTTTCCTTTTCCTACCCATAAATGACTTCAACATTAATTCCCAAAACATATACAAATTCGCCTGAAGCAACAATAAAGTTTATATAAAATCGTAAACGAAAATCTAACTTAACTTGCCTGTGATTTTGTGTATATTTCCGCCATTTTTTCTCCCGTATGTACATGCCACAATTTGATATACCCATCACTCGATCCACCACCCGTAGCTATGACGCTTTTTCTCCATGGACACCAAGATAAAGCCTAAAAAAAAACTTTTCATAATATGCAAGCCAGCTCAAAAATGTGGGTCTTGAGTGCTAAGGACATTAGCTACGATTTAGACAAAATAAAATGTTCCAAACATATATAAAAACAGAATTGTGAAATTATATTTCGCTATTAACAGTCAGTTTACTTTAATTTTGTCAAAATAAGACAAAAAAAAACATCGCTAATGTATTATTCATTTGGCTTGCAACTCAATAATTCAAACTTATGTGAATCCGTATTCAATTGACCTCCAATTTCACCATTATCTGGCATGAGCTACGCATATGCTAAGGCTGATCAATCATTAAAAATAAAAAGAAGTCAACATTGAAAGTGAAACACGGGATCCACCGAGAAAAATTATTTCGTTGACTGATTCTGCACATAAAAAAAATCATTCTAATACAGGTAAAACGATTATTTATATATTTTCTTAATCAATGACATGAAACCAGACAGACCTAGAAAAATTGTCATAATACGATTGCACGTGCTTGGCTGTGTATCTATATTTATGTTTATGTTTATATCAGGTCATATGATCGTCTGCATTCTTCGGAGCTCATTTCGATGGTTAATCAGATGTCGTCTAGACAAAAATACACACGAAATGCTGATATACAACGACTCAATGTATTGCTAATTGTTTCTTTTGGACTTTTTGTAATTTGCATATTCGTTTTAGAATGTTATAAATCCATAATGTGAATTTGAGTCAAATCGGTGAACATGAATTTGACAGCCTTTAAAAATGCAAAAATCCTCCTAAAAATGAATAGTATTATTCATTCAAATTTTCCCGAGTAGATTTTCATGTTTACAGCACTTTTGTGACTGATATTGAAAGGCATAATGAAACGATCTAAATAATACACTGGGACCGACCGTGCGATACCCTCGTGGGGAGTCAATGTTGTTAAACACCACTGTAGTAGTAACAGCACAGTGAACCCCCATAAAATCTTTAAGAATAACTCATGAACGTCGGAAGAGTATAACAGTTCTGCGCCACTTTTATATACCAGTGGCACCCATCATAGTGCTCAGTAGTACAATTTCCAGTAATAAGTAGTATTTTATGTCACCATAATTATCAAAATACGTACCTGGCCTGCGTTTTACAAAAAAATCTTACGACTAAAATTGAAAATAAGTATACAGAATTGTTCATGACTTTAGTGAAGTATTTGTCGTAAGATTTTCGTCGAAATATCATCTTTGAAGACAGTCATTCCTAAAACATCCAAAGCGATGAAACATTCAAAACTAAGTTATAGGAGCAGGCGATATATTTTTGAAAAAGTATGTGCGAAGTATAAGTGTTTTATTTATGGGATGCTTTGAAAGTTTTTACTAATATTTCATACTCAATAAAATGCTTAGCGACTGATTAAAATGAATAATTAATCCGGAAAAAATCCTGCTGGCCCCCACCCCCCTAGAATATTCGTCTCCTTACTGTTATTGTCCGTGTAGTTTTTATATCTATCCAGCTTATCGTCCCTACAGGGATGTCCTATTAAGGCTTCCATACCATAAAAACGTTTATCACTCAGCTCACATTCTATTATATCTGCATTCATAAATTTATTAGTGTCATTTAGACTAAACGACGCCATGTTTGTTATGTGCCTCTGCCGTCTAAACTACCTATTTAAAAGGAAGGGGTAGAAGAGAAACAAATCTTCCCAATGCAAAAAAAAACAGAAATGGACCTCTTCTGGCTCACTACCGAAGAACAAAAAAACACGCCCTTGCTTTTTAAAAAGTAATAGCTTTTCTAAAAGGCTGGTCGTGTTAAAGCTGATTATTAACAAAAATGTTTTGGGCATCATCAGCAAAATAAAGAATAAAATTTTCTTTTTAGGGTCATGTTTTAAAATCCCCTGCATTTTTACCTTTATGCCATTTCATATATAATTGAGGTGTTTTGCTCTTTCGAATATTTGTTTTGGGGTTTTTTTTTGTAGATAAAGACTCGAAAGGAGATGTATGATAAGAGCTATTTGTGGCTGCTGAACATTAAAATACACGTAAATCAAACACGTGTACTAGCACTGAATAGACTTGATATTACCAAATACAATTTTTAGCTAATACAATATGTGACTCTTTATTACTTTATCTGATGAGCATAATCACGAAAGTACTCCTGCAGTGATGGGCAAACCTTTAATTAAGTCGCACGGCACAAAACGAAAGAAACATGGAAAAGCTAAATTCCAACTTACCTTTGAACATGCAGAATGAGCATTGATTTCCCTGTAACATTTAATTGTTCTTAATTCCCAAATATAAACTATTCCCTCATCGCCTCCACTAGCCATGTAATTTGTACCGTCTGCTATTTCTAATCCACAGACCTCTCTTTTATGTCCAAGAAATTCAGCCACCACCATATTGGGGGTTCGAGGGTCCAGTAATACAATTGATCCGTTTCTGTTGCCGCTGAAATATGAATTCAAGGGGGATAACTTGTATGGCAATATTTTGACTGCAAATTACCACCAATGATCAGGAAAAAATGGAAGGCGCATAAGTGAAATTATGTAGAACATTTTAGCTTAAATGCAGATGTTTTAATATTTCAATTTGATATTTAGCAAGAAAACGAGTACGGTGACCTAATTCATTCTTTTTTCTTCTCTGAAAAATGAGAGATATTTTCTCATATTTTATTTCAGAATTATATCATTTAGTTTTCTATCTTGCCGCATACTGTGTTTTTCCGAGTATAATTCTTACAAGTTATGAGAATTTAGCAGAACCTGTAGCTTAAAAACGAACCTTAAATTTGGTCACACCAAATGTGTAACACCCCTTCAAGAAAAGTCCTTCATAAAAAAATCAATAGAAATAAATTTTAAATACGTAATGAAGATAGAAATTAATTATCCGAATCTATTTTCAGCGCCAAACAACAAATTAATAATACAAGTGGCTTCTTAATAATACTGCATAGATAGGACGGTAATTATATCCATTTTATTATTATCATTATCAACCATTAGATCTAATTGGTATTGTCTACTTCAAAATCAGATCTCCCCAAGGACAGTGTGATAATGTGTACATGGTTATTTTTTCTCTTATTTACTATGAATTTGGATACAGTCTGGCCTTCTCTGTATATCGCTAAATGGTTCATTACGTCTCATCGCCCATTTTCTACCTTTTTTTAACTATTTAAGACGAGAAAGTGTTTATATATACTCAATGCATCCAAACAGGTTGACTTTTATGTGTTGCGTGTCTCACAAGTGGGGTTAAACAAAATATTTTTAAAAAATACTACCCTTTTTATTTGATTCATAATGGATTTTTGAAAACGTGGATGTCACTTGCAGAGCAGTATATGGTATACCTTTCCAAAGCACCTTTCGATTATTCTTTTTATATACATTATACGAAACGACATAAGTTTTACGTTACACTTAGACGTGACGTAAGGATATAATTTATATACTGCAAGGTTTTGAAGTCTAGTTGTCCTATAAAATCGGCTGATTTTGCTTAAATTAGAGTTGTAGTGTATGAGGGTCTAGAGGGGCTTAAAGAATAGAAAATTATGAACAAAGACTACGTATACAGACAGATGGGCCAACAATTAAAGAATAGACAAAAATAGACAAAAATAAAATAAAATTGGGTGCTAAAATAAAAAGAATGGAGATTAAGGGACAAAATAGATAAAGAAAAGAAAAAATGGCCCAAAATATTAAAACATACAGAATCAAGATCCCCATCCAGATCCTTGTGTTTAAGTAGCGCAACATTACGCACGTGAGATATCAAGAATTCTCTAATGTACCTACCAGAATATACCATGGTGTGTCCACCGCATGACCCCAATAGGTGCGTTATATTTGAGGGGTGTTTGTTGTATTATTTTAGCTTGTTCCGGGTCACATATCTATAAACACAAATATTGTTCATTTTAATATTAATTGCAATAATATCTGTGGCACGGATATGTATTGAAAACCGCGTTGATAAATGTAGACTGTCCTCAGAAATTATTTTCCTTGAATTTCTTTTCATGTTATAAGAAAAGATAAATTGATATTTACTATATCAAAATAAGCAGATATGGTATAATTGCCAATCTTGACTGATCAGATAGACACGAATCACAAAGAAAATCGAACAAAAAGACATAAACTATAAAGTATACAGTCAGGATTCTACTTCGTCAAAATTTTCTCCCCATTAAGCCACCTAATTTTTATAATCGTAAAAATGGAAGCCATTGTAGTGATGACGCGCTGTCAATTTAGTTCTTGAAAACCGATAAATTTATCCACATAGCATTATGGTACCAGAATTATTACGATCCTTATATGACAGTTGTATTTTCAAAAGACAAATGTATCTACTAGCTATTGATTATCATTTAATGTACTTTTATGCATTTGGTCAACTTAAAACTATTGTCTGATCGGTTGTCAGAGGGAATTTTCGAAAGTTCAAAAATATTTTTAAAAATTCTAATTAAATATTTCGTGGAAGGGCAGACTAAAAATTTTCAGAGGTTGAAGACTAATTACCCTAGATAACACACACACAAAATGAAGTTTTTTTTGAAGATATGCATTTTAAGATTCACTTGAAAAGTGTGTTGTCAAGTACTTTTAGTAAAAAATTGTTATTCGAACACACCTACTCTGTGTTATGACTCATTGGAAAGGTATTTCACTTGACCCATATATTTCATTTTTAAGTACTGTAAATTTTTAATGTTATCATATCAACCTAGAGCCTACATGTATAAAAATAATACAATCTGAAGCGAGATGATGCATCAAATATTTTTCGTTTATACGTTTTCAAAACAGAATAGTCAACTCAAACACGCCTGAACATAAAAAGGTGTACTCGACTTTATCTTTTAGATGAAATTATTGACCATTTTGGGGATTTTTTCAAAAAAAACTGTCGCCGGGGGCAGAGATGCAAATAAATGCTATTAAAAGATCAAGCTATTATCTTTCTTTGGAATGTTTTTCGGCGGAATTTATGCTTATGCACAAAAAAGATCCACATGTATTTGCACCTACCACAATCGACTGTTTTATGAAAATTTGTCTATAATTTAAAAGTTTACAAATATCTCGAAGCTCCATACCATAATTTAAGTAAAAACACATACATAAGTCGCCTAAAATCCTAAATTAGGCACATTCATTAAACTTTAAAAGCCCATAGAAACAGATGTAAACAATTCAAATTTACCAACTTGGCCTTTTGTACCTTCTCTAACAAAGAGTTCCATTTCTTTTGTTTAATTTCAACTGAGTTTCCGCCTGTATATATTTTTATCACAATGAATTAACCAAAAAAAAAAAAGAAAAAAGAAATCAAAATGCCAACTGCGAGCTTGTATCAGTGTAAACTTTACCAACAGTATGGGAGCTACCATTTGAATTTTATGGGGGGGGGGGGGGGGGGGGGGGCTAGGATGCAAAATTTTGTCCTGCATTTTTTTTTAGTTGTAATCTCTATCCTGCCTTTTTATTTTCCACTCTATTCGGTCCTGCCTTTTTTTTTTAGTTTATCCTGACTTTTTTTTACCTAAATTGTCATTCTGACTTTTTACAAGTGTCTCATCCTGCCTTTCTTTTTACTCAAAACTCCTGTCCTGCCTATTTTTTTCAAATTTCATCCTAGTCCCCCCCCCCCCCCCTAGGATAATAAGACTTTACTAATAGTAATAAAATTACCATGACTTCTCCGCTATTATCAGCAATCCCTACAAATTTACCACCTGGATTCCAGGACAAAGAAGACACGTAATAATTGTCTACGTCTCCAGACTTGACTTCTATCTGTATACACCGTTTAGTATCAGCGTTCCATATGTACGTTATATGTTGTAACGCTACTGCTATCTGGTTTGTAGAACCCCAGTCTAACACGTTTGTATCTATCAAACAATTTACATAAATATAGTATTATGTATAAAATTGTAGTTAACAGATTAAAGGAAATCGGAAATAATACTCCAGAGGCACCAAATATATATATATATATATATATATATATATATGTATATTTAAACCCGCTGCATTTGTTTGCACCTGTCCTAAGTCAGGAATCTGATGTTCAGTAGTTGTCGTTTGTTGATGTGGTTCATAAGTGTTTCTCGTTTCTCGTTTTTTATATAGATTAGACCGTTGGTTTTCCCGTTTGAATGGTTTTACACTAGTAATTTTTTGAGGCCCTTTATAGCTTACTGTTCGGTGTGAGCCAAGGCTCCGTGTTGAAGACCGTACTGTGACCTATAATGGTTTACTTTTATAAATTTTGACTTGGATGGAGAGTTGTCTCATTGGCACTCATACCACATCTTCTTATATCTATATATATCAAAAGTAATAAGATCGCCGTACAAACAGGAAAAACACTTTAAAAAACATAAAGCTTTGAAAAGAGCAACATCCATCCAAATTCGGAATAATATCTGGAGATTCGCATCGGTAGGTATTTATCTTACCTCCTATACATTTCTAGAAATATCATTGGTTAAAAGCAGACACGTGAAGACCCTGTATATCTAATATGGGGATAGTAGGTGTGTTTTAGTTCAATATACGGTTGGTAGTAGTGTTACGTCTTTATAAAAACAGCATGACGTTGAAAAAAATTTGAAACGTTTCGTCCAACTAAAAAATGAAGAAATAGATGATGAACGACTGAAAATAAATGCAGAAAACACATTAAAGCTAGCAAGTTGTTATTGTTAGCATTTGTTTTTGTATAGACCAATGGAAGTAGGTTCTTTTAAAATATTGAAGACTTGATCACTTTGATAAGTCACTAGTCTAAATGCCACCTGTTAAGATAGTTGGTAAGATCAATTCGTTACACAGTGTGCTAGTGACCTAATACGATATATATGGGGTCAATAAATTCCTTATGGGGGTTCGCTCTCACCCCATGTGGAATTTACTGATCCCATATACATCGTATTAGGTCACTAGCATAATGTGTAACTAATAATATCATGCCACGCCAATCGTATTGTAAGTCCATATTCTTGATTATACATATAAGGTTAAGTTTTTTTCTAGAAAAAAAATTATTCTGATTCACAACTTTGAAGAAAAAAATATTTTGATCCCGGAGAAGGTAAATAAAATATTTTGATTGAGACTATTTACCATTACATTTATAGTTAAATTCTTTTTTTTTAAATTTGGTGCGCGAGAAAAGGAATAAATAAATTTTCAAGATTGCAGGACGTAAATATATATTTAACTAAGCCTTTTATTTTTCAAAAAAAGATTCAAAGTTAGAACCAATAAAGCAATATTCAAAGATCTTACTACGGTGTTTAATTCATATCTTTTAAGAACAAGTTTATTCGAAGGATCAATAAGTTTATATTGTTCTATCTAAATTTACGGGCTTTATAAACAGTATTACCGTAAAATTTGCGATGTGACAAGAATTTTACAGACGCAGCCAAATTTCACAATCAAATGTTTGTATCAATGAAAGAATCTAGTAAAAGCTTTAAGAAATTTACGGTAACGAAATCCCTGACTTAATTATTTACCATTATATATGGATTACGTTCGTTGATATCTTAAACGTCACTACCGACACGGGCATAGTGAACGAGTTTGGAAATATTAAACACCCTAAGAAGGGCCCAGAGTAACATCAATGTCCAAAAAAGGAAAATAAACATTAGGGAACGAAAAATTGTCTATTTTGTCAAAATTTTTGTTTTAATTTTCCCTTGTGAAACTGAAATATCAAATCTATAAAACGACAATTAGTGCTGTTAAAATTATATTTATTTAAATTTAGCTCCCTCAGGCTCGGGAATATTTCCACAGTATAATTAGAGAAATTTTGATTATTTAAAGCAAAAATATCATCAAAGTAACGGTAAGTGTTATAAAATGTATCAATTGAATGAAATTTAGAGGGATCTTTATTGAGTATATTGTATTTAATAGTGTATAGACTTGAAGACAATTATTGGAAATACTCACAAAAATCGTTCCTTAAACAAGGCATATCCATGATACAGGATGGAGATGTAACAACCCTTCTTCTATCTTCTTTACATTCAGGGGAACCAAATACTTTGTCCATTGTAGAATCAAAAAATGGTGAGTGTAGTGGTGTAGTTGGACCTAGAATAAGATGGAACATATAGACAACACTTCAAATAAACAAATGGTGAGTGTAGTGGTGTAGTTGGACCTAGAACAAGATGGAACATATAGACAACACTTCAAATAAACAAATGGTGAGTGTAGTGGTGTAGTTGGACCTAGAACAAGATGGAACATATAGACAACACTTCAAATAAACAAATGGTGAGTGTAGTGGTGTAGTTGGACCTAGAACAAGATGGAACATATAGACAACACTTCAAATAAACAAATAATTTACAAAGCATCAATTTACCAGTAATAATTCAGATGAACATGTGGGTATCCAAAATAAGTATTTAAACTCAAATTTTAGTTTCAGAGCAAATACAAAATTTCATTTTAACAGCCAAGTGTTTATTCTGCATATCTGATGTTTACAACTTCATCACCATAAAGTTACACTGGGTTCATTATTTTAAATTTGGATTTAGGATTTTGTTCTGGTCTACTTTTATTTTGTTTTGAAAATTTAAAAAAAAAACGTGTAGCAACAAAAGATCGAAAAATACATTGATCAATGTAGCTTATTACATTTTGTTTATTTTTATTGTTCATCTTTATATTCGAAAAAAAAGTATTCCTAACAATTAAAACACAAGCCACATGTGATAAATATTCTTTCGTAAAATGTCACAGATGACAGAAAATGGACAATTTCTATCTCATTTTTAAAATATAAGTATACTATGTCATGAATATGGAGTAATATTACTTACTTGAATATCCTGAATCATTTCTTTGGATCGTTGGTAGAATTCTAGGTTCCTCGGAATCGAATGCACCAGATAATAATTTGTTATAAAACACTTTTTGTTTATCCTTGTATTGTCCGGGTTCTTTCTGAGAAAGTTTCACTGGAGACAGTAATTTTGTATGTGACTTGTTGATATCTAAATTCGGACGATAAGGTATAAATCTGTCAAAATTACACTTTTTCGAACGGAAAGGTTGTCCACTGCTGTAAAATTTGCGATGTCCTGTTTCGTTTTCTGTCGCCTCCATATTTATTTACTCAATTGAGTAGCCTTTAAATATGATATAATGAGTCACTGATTGATAGAGAACAGTGACCACGCTGTGCCCGTGAGCTAAACACACACATAGGTAATAACCGTTGGCAATTTTCCAGAATTTCCAAAATAAGAAAAAGGTCCGCAAATTGTTGTAAAATAATTCATTAATCATCAATATATTATTTCTTCAGAACTGATATTTTAGGTTTTAGATTTTGAAACTATTCGTATTTAATTGGCCATACATGGAACATAAGGCTATTTTGTTCTTGAGGGTTTTTGTGTCTTAACCAATCGAGAAAGATCTAGTTGAATATATGGTAAATCAACACCAATTGTTTACATGATCTTTTGTAAAAGCACATTTGGAACAGTTATTCTACCCCCGAAATCATTCTCCTATGGGTCGCAAATGATTTTTGGGCGGGATTTTTTTTTTCTCTTTTTATGTCTGTACTATAATTTCACTTATAACGTATAGCTTTCACAGATACTTTTAATATAAATGTTTCTGTTTACACGAGGATTTCATTTATTTCAAAATTTGAAAACTATTAGTGTGAGGACGCTTGCAACGGTAAAAATAAATTTAGATGCAGGAGCTTTGAGACAATATTAAAATTTTGCCACTCAGTTAGGTAGTAACCTTTACCATTTGATTTTAGGGGGGGTGGGGGGCATGGAAGAAATTTGAAAAATTCAATCCAAGATTCCAAATTTGGCGAAAAAAGGTCAGGATTGAAAATTCTGGATGGGTATGAAGTAGCAGTTACTGCATTGAAACAGAAAATTATTATGAATTAGAAATTAAAAGAAAATGTACGCAAAATTAGAATAAGAATTTTTTATTCACCAAATTAGTTTCGAACCCAGAACAATAATAAAGTTTATACACAGGTCATCATAATACAGAAACTGTTGTTTACATGGACGGTCCACTACATAATAAACTTTTTCCATTCTATATAGTAAAACATTCTTTGGTATCATTTTATAGTTATTATTTTAAACTGAAACATTCAACATTTATTTATTTTGAAAATATGTTGTGCTCGTGTTTATTTGTCAGTGGTGTCGTGGTAGCTAGTTCGCCTCGAGTGCGAGAGGTCGTGGGTTCGAACTCCGGCCGGGTCAAACCAAAGACTTTAAAATTGGTATTTGGCTTCTTCTCCGCTAAACACGCAGCATTAATGCCAAAAAGGGGGATAGTTTTACCCCCACCCCACTTTTGACAGTAAGGCAAAATTACCCCCTTGATTTTGCTATTAAAATTTTCTGAAATTCTGTACATCACAAAAATAAGAAGATGTGGTATTCTTGCCTATGAGACAACTCTCCACCAGACACTTGGAGAGTTCAGGGCCAGATTAGCCAGTTTGCCCTTGACCTGGACCCAGATGCAGCCTCACTAGACACCAGCTTTTAAATTTGTACAGTGTATATAGTTTTATTTTGTTAATATTTACTTTTATTCAATGGAGAAGCCTCCTGTTTTACCGAGAGGAGTGATTAAATCACTCAAATATGAGGTCAACTCCTTACCAGAAGAAGAAGAAAAAGATATCCCATAAAATTTGTAAGATATCTCATATAATTTTCTTTATAAGATATCTCATATAATTTTCTTTATAAGATATCTCATATAATTTTCTTTATAAAATATCTCATATAATTTCCTTTATAAGATATCTTATAAATTATTTGAGATATCTTATAAATTATTTGAGATATCTTATAAACTATATGAGATATCTCAAAAATTATATACGATATCTTATAAAATATATGAGATATCTTATAAAGTTTATACGATATCTTATATAAAAAATATCTATAAGATATCTTTTAAACTTTATAAGATATCTTATATACTTTATAAGATATCTAATAAACTTTTGAAGATATCTTGTAAAGTATATAAGATATTTTATAAAGTTTATAAGATATCTTATAAAATTTATAAGATATCTTTTAAAATTTATAAGATATCTTTTAAAATTTATAAGATATTTTATAAAAACTAGATTATATAATATATCTTATATATTATACGAGATATCTTATATATTGTATGAGATATCTTGAAGTTAGGATAAATAGTAAAACAGCTTGCCATAGTCACACCTTCAAACATTGATTACACCTTCAAACATTGGTCACACCTTCAAACATTGATCACATCTTCAAACATTAATCACACCTTCAAACATTGGTCACACCTTCAAACATTGATCACACCTTCAAACATTGGTCACACCTTCAAACATTGGTCACACCTTCAAACATTGATCACACCTTCAAACATTGATCACACCTTCAAACATTGGTCACACCTTCAAACATTGGTCACACCTTCAAACATTGATCACACCTTCAAACATTGGTCACACCTTCAAACATTGATCACACCTTCAAACATTGGTCACACCTTCAAACATTGATCACACCTTCAAACATTGATCACACCTTCAAACATTGATCACACCTTCAAACATTGGTCACACCTTCAAACATTGATCACACCTTCAAACATTGGTCACACCTTCAAACATTGATCACACCTTCAAACATTGGTCACACCTTCAAACATTGATCACACCTTCAAACATTGGTCACACCTTCAAACATTGATCACACCTTCAAACATTGGTCACACCTTCAAACATTGGTCACACCTTCAAACATTGATCACACCTTCAAACATTGGTCACACCTTCAAACATTGATCACACCTTCAAACATTGGTCACACCTTCAAACATTGATCACACCTTCAAACATTGGTCACACCTTCAAACATATATAAAAAAAAACTCATCAAAGATATCAGACCTATAATTGTGTACGTCAGACGCACTTTTCGTGTCACTCAGAGACGCTCAAATCAAATACAGTACAAAGTTGAAGAACATTGAGGATACAAAATTCCGAAAGTGTTTGCAAAATACAGCTAGGATACTACATTCCTGGGGTAGAAAAAATTGATAGATTTGCAATGAGAAAAATTCTTTATTGATTCCATTCATTTCCATGGTATTTCCAGAATTTGATGGACGACATTCTAGACTTCATAGTTGACGAATGACATACCATAGTCCGAGGACTTACCCCAACAGATTCACAAAATAATTTAAAAGACATGACATCAAAATTTACCATATAACAAGAGATTCATGCACAAACTCAGTCTTACTAAAATGAAAGACAAATATCATTGCTTCTTTAAGCGTTGCCTGTCACTGAGGATTCTGCAGTTGCATTGGCGACCTAAACTTGGAACAGATCAATAATGACAAGAAGTCCAGGCTATAATAAACACTTGAAATATCTGGGAAAAAGCAGAACAAAGTTCCAAAAACCGGTTTATGGGTGCTAAAGTGGTCGCAAAATCCCGCCTATTATAATGCCTCCTATTACATAGATACTAGTTTACGGTCATTGTGCCACGATGGCAAAATATTGTACCCTATAGATGTTCATCATGACTACCATAGTCTCATCAGTGGAATTCAAAGGTTTGCTTCAAATGACAGTAAGATGAATTCTGTATTAAACTTGAAACACAGTATGTGTACAAGAGGACAATAAACTAAGCTTCAAAGGACAAGACAAGACAAAATCTATTAAACCTCAGACACAGTACGTGTACAAGAAGACAATTATCTAACCTTCAAAGGACAAGACAAGACAAATTCTTTTATAAACATCAGACATAGTACGTGTGCAGGAGGACAATAAGCTAAACTTCAAAGGAGAAGACAAGACACATTCTGTATTAAACCTCAGACACAGTACGTGTACAAGAGGACAATTGTCCAACCTTCAAAGGACATGACAAGACAAATTCTTTACTAAACATCAGACACAGTACGTGTACAAGAGGACAATAAACTAAGCTTCAAAGGAGAAGACAAGACACATTCTGTATTAAACCTCAGACACAGTACGTGTGCAGGAGGACAATAAGCTAAGCTTCAAATGACAAGACAAGACACATTCTGTATTAAACATCAGACACAGTACGTGTTCAAGGGGACAATAAACTAAGCTTCAAAAGACAAGACAAAACACATTCTGTATTAAACATCAGACACAGTATGTATACAAGAGGACAATAAACTAAGCTTCAAAGGACAAGACCAGACAAATTATGTATTAAACCTCAGACACAGTACGTGTACAAGAGGACAATTATCTAACTTCAAAGGACAAGACAAGACAAATTATTTAATAAACATAAGACACAGTACGTGTACAAGAGGACAATAAACTAAGCTTCAAAGGAGAAGACAAGACAAATTATGTATTAAATATCAGACACAGTACGTGTACAAGAGGTCAATAAAGTAGCATTTAGTAAGTAAGTAAGTAAAATTTTAATTCTATAAAAAACATATACAATAACAAATAAAACAAAGCACACAGCGTGCACTGCTAACACTAAAAGCAGATATGAAGCACAAAGACATACTTTAAAAAAGGTGATAATTTATAAAAATTTTAAACTTAAATCCAGTCAGTAAATGCTATATAGTAAGTAAAACTACCGGTATCTATATTGTGTGTACTAAATTGCAATGCAAGCTAATTATGAAGCATAGAATGCATGGATATGTTTCAAAATAAACTACAAGCAGAGCAAAAGCAGTCAGATCCACACCAGAACTGAATAAAGGAAAAATGTAAAAATTTCCGATAAATAGTCATCATAGACGAATCTTAATGCTCTTTCTTGTATTTTTCTATTTTTCCAGAATTTTTCCCTGTACAAAATGGGCAAAAATGAAAATTACTCAGATATGAAAAATTGTAAGTCTGTTTAATCTAATAATTAATATAAAAATTAATATATGTCGTAAGATTTCCAATGAGACAACTATCAAAAATGAGTCCAAAATGACCTATATGTTACAACTATAGGGTATCGTACGGCCTTCAAAAATGAGCAAAACCAATACCACTTTTTGTAATTTACTCCACAGCCTTAGTCTCCA